TTTTCTCCTTCCAACTGAACTTGAATTTGGTTTTGGCAGGACGAAATACTTTATCAAGTCGACGCCAACCCACAGAACTGGATGGTTGCTGGGAGGAAATGCGGTCACGTATCGCTGTCAAACAAACAAGGTAACTAATAATTTCGAGTTCAGACACCGAAACTCGATATATCGATTTCCATCTTGCAATGCCAAATTTTCAGTTCGCCTACAAGCCCTTGTGAATAACATTGCGCGCATGTTCCACAACAAACAGGTTCAAGGATAGAGATCACGGTGACGTGCGTGCCGCTGGTGTCCGGCTACGTCCATCCGCCGCAGCTGGGCCTGCCGCACGTCGGCGAGGCCAACATCAGCTGCAACCCGGCAGGCCCTCACCTGGTGTGCGTCCTTCCTCCGACACTGAGCACCTCATACTGCATACCGGCTTGATCCATCCATCATACACAGATTGTATGTTAGGCTTGTAGCCTGTAGTAGAAGAGAAATGCCACTTACACTGGTCGGCTTGAGATGTATCGCCATTTGCACCGGATGAGATGTATGCTGTTTTTGCCGAGACATTCTTTTGTGCAGATGAGTTCTTTTTCGTCAGTAACATTCAGAACGTGTTCCATTGTTTCATGTACCATAAGATAAGTAACATAATTCTCCGTGTATATCAAATCAAGTGATAGACTGGATTTTGAAGTCTACCAGAATTCCGGCACAAGAGTTACTTCGTTCTCGATAATTCATTCCTGTACGTGCAGATCTGTCATTGCGAGCTGGAGTACTATGTAGGTCAAATGGAGATTACCGTTCTTCTGTTAACCTTTTTTTTCACTGGGAATTATTTCTGTTGGTATGTCAATTACAATTACTACTGTTTGTTGTCACGTATGTTCAAGTATATATAGAGTACCTTAGCAGTTTCAATAGATCGTCCCTTACATTAGATAAGGGATTATCGATTTAAGATTCGGGCTTGCAATATTCTCCATCACATTAGACTACGCGTCCGTCCAGATGTTTTTCATTATAGAAACTGAACATCAAACAAAATCAACCCCAGTACCACAAAATCGACCAAAAATTCAAATCGATTTTATAAATCAAAATGTGCCAGGAGACAGGTAACATTGACGCGGGTTAGTAAGCGCCATGCTGTTTAATTCTGGTCCAAATTCAATCTATGCTTCTCTCTACAGGATGACCAAACCAATATCATCGGCCATTCTTCCAGTCGTGAAGCAACAAAAAAAAAACAAAAACATATCTGCGCTGCCAAAAATAACTTGAAAAGAAACCTAATCGATTTGTCTCCTCAGTTCAGGTCTCCAGATTGCTTCCGCACCGCGCCATGAGAAAAGCGCATCAGAAGAACGAAAGTTAATCATTTTTAATCATCATCAGAGACGAACACTAACCAAAAACAATCTTGCAAATTCAGAAACATCAGAATAGAAAAAAAGAAACTAATTAATTCAAAATTGTCCCAAAATCTCCCTCAGAACATGTGTATGGGTATCATCAACAGATTGGTAATTCTTCAGACAAGGCTGAAACTTTAAAACATGCAGCAGTCACTGGGAGCAGCAGGGGCTGAACTAATCAATCAAAAATCGAATCTTGGCAGATAAAATGCAAAAAATAAACTTTTTTTTCGGCGAAAACGTAAATATTCAAGATCCCTCTGCGTGATAATAATATGACTCATCAGATTTGAATCAGGCCACTACTTTTTTTAACATCACAAGTCTTCACTGGGATCATCCATGAATCCACACAGATCCAAACTATAAAAACCAAAAAAAAAAAGAGGATTAAGATTAGATCGATGGGAACCCCCTCAGTTCAGGTCTCCAAATAGTTCTTCCACATTGCAACTTCAGAAGAACGAAAGTAAAAATTTACATCATCATCGGAGACACAGATCGATCCAAGAAAAAAAGAGAGACCAAAACAAAAGCAAAACGCAAAGAAAACCAAACCAAATCTACAGCGAAAGGATTGGAGCAAAAGAATCGAACTTTTCGAAGGGATGAGCATAGCAGGTCGAGGAGATCGATTGGAAGGATGAGGAGTTGAATGAGAGAGCATTCCATGGCGGCGGGGTTCGCTGGGTGGTGGAGAGGGGAGGGTTTCTTTTGGATTTTATAGGCTCTTGGGCTCTTGGCTAGGGTTTGTTCTAGGCTCCTGATAAATCTCCACCGTCTGATCTCGCACCGGTGGCTGAGATGGCTTTTCACGCTAAGAGCATCCATCAGCCGCTTTGGATTAGAAATTTCATTATTTGCTACCCCAAAAAGTACGAATCCCCCCCCCCCTTGCGGAACTATCGCGGACGACCGAATTACCCCCTAAACCTAAAAACCAGACATTGCTCATCCCAAACTTTCAATATCGGACGAATTACCCCCCTCAACACTGTTTTGAGCGGTTTTTACTTGAGTTTGCACACGTGGCGCCAACGTGACAATTCAGTCAGCAAAATAAAAATTAAAATACCTCCCTTGGGCAACCTGTCATACCTCTCTCTCCCCGGTCGCACTCTCTCTCTCTCTCATATGCGCTCGGGCAAGTGGCTCCGCAGCGCGGAGGTGGTCGACGGTGGAGGACGAGCTAGCCCGAGCGACGGGCGGCTGAGGCAGAGCTTGCCCAGGAGGCCGGTGGTTGAGGCGGTGGCGGACCAGGCAGCCGGCGACGGAGGCGAAGGCCGACCAGGTGCTGGCACGGTCCCATTCGCGTGGCAGCCTCATCACGGACCTCGCCTATTCCCCTTCCTCCCCACGCGCGACCGCCGAAGTGGTGGCCCCCCGCCCCCATCTCCTCCCATCCTTCTCCCTTCTTTGTCGCCACGGCGAGGACAATGCTCGCCGTTGTGGCACTGACAGCCGCCGCGGTGGTCGCTGTCCTGGAGTGCACTGTCGGCGGTCTCCACCGAGTGCTAGATACGGGAGCGCGGTGGGTGGCAGCACTAGACGCGAAGATGGGAGTGGCAAACTTTGGGAGGGCGTGTGCTAGAGTGGGGGGCCCCGGAGACGAAGCATAGGCCAGACGGCGTCGTTGATGGCTCATAGGTGGGAGCCGGCCCTTCCGGCCTTCTCTGCCTCCGCCTCACTCCAACTCTCGAGATCTAGAGGCTGATGTGTGGGTGGTGCGACGAGGACGATGAGGAGGAAGAGGAGGAGGAGAGGTGGCGCTCCACCTCCCCCGTGGACTGCACCGGCCGCCCCGCTCTTGGTTTTTTATGGGATAGAGGAAGTACTTGTTCGCAGCTCTTTTTTAATCAGAATTTATCACTCCGTTCGTAGACCTGTCGGGTTAACATTGTTCGCGGCTCTTTTTTAATCAGAATTTATCGCTCCGTTCGTAGACCTATCGGGTTAACATTGGGACTACGAATTTCTTCTGGGGTTTTGTCTGCTACCCAGTTGTCCATCCTATTATTGGTGTGGTTTAGCAATCAGTCCAGTTGCCTCGTCACCGACAAGTTATTTCACAACACCGCCTTGTCTTCTTGGCCTTCAGACACAGTAGGAGGTGCAGCTGTGGTATGAGGAAAACATACATTACAAGGAGAATTCTTTGCATGTCGATACATTATAAGAAGAAAACAAAGTTAACAACTTCACCACGATCAGCCAGAAGACTTGGTATACGTGGGATAAATTTTTAGTGAAATTTGTTACGTTGAATTCTAGGAGTACTACTCTAACCACCTTACAAAAGAGGTGATTAAACTCAAAATTCTCAAGCAAACAAAACAAAATCTCTTCAATGCAACCAACAAAACAAGATCTCTTCAATACATGATCATTTCGTACATTCATCCAGACAACATCTCACTGCAACTAGGACTAATCAATCCAACCAACCAAACAACTCCATTAGAATCTACTCCCTCCGTCCCAAAATATAAGCATTTTTAGCTATGAATCTGGACACATAGTTGTCTAGAAGTTATTATATTTTGGGACGGAGGTAGTACTTAGTCAGGCTGTAGTTATCTTGGATACTCCCTCTGTCCTAAAATATAGTATTTTTAGAATACTGACAAGTCAAACATTTTTAACTTTAACTATTAATAGAATAAAATAAAAAAGATCAATCATGTAAAATGCAACTAGATTTATTATTAAACAAACTATCGTAATATGCAACTCTTTTTATTTAAAACACATATTATTTTTTATAGATATTGTTGGTTAAAGTAGCATCTCGGAAACCGTATCAAAGTCCAAAAATACTTATATTTTGGGACGGATGGAGTAGCTTATACGGGCTAAGGATAGAATTAATATTGCAAACAATCAAACATAATATTAGAGAATGAGTTGTATAGAGTATTTCTTGTTGAAATAGTCCCATATTGAGTTGTAGAAAGGCAAGAGACCTAATATATAAGTGGGAGAGCCCTCACCTCATTGTTTAGTTTTTTTTAAGAAAAGACTATTTATGACTCTATAATTGGTATTACAGTCTGATTAGTTCAATATCTCTGATCCGAAAATAAAGTGTGTGAAGAATTGATGGACCATCGGTGGCTGCCGGCCTCGTATAGTGTATAGTTGAGAGAGACCGTGGGGATATACAGCCAAGGTGCGGTGAACGGCAAAGCCTAAAATGGTTGAATGCCTGATGATTCGACAGATGATACTCTCTGACGCTATCTTGAAATCCTGACGTGCATGCCTAACCACCAACCACTCTGATAATACTCGATCTCCATTTTTGCTATCGATTCCATTCTACGCGACGCCTCCTCCTTCTTCCTCCTCGTACACATCACCACCACCACCTCGGTTAATCCCTTTTCCGGAGTGATCCAAGCTTTGGCATTGCCGTACCGTTACCGTACGTGCACCCCACGTCACGTCACCTTCTCTCTCTCCATCTCACCACCACCACCACCGCCCTCACCGCACTACAACCACCACAGCCACACCGAAACCTTTGGGCTTTTGGCAGGAGGATCAAGGTGAGGTGAGCTTCTTGGTCATCAATAGTTATCTCCTGGGAGGTTTTTCTTTATTTGTTCTCTCCTCTTTTGTATTCCACGTGTACTCTATTCTCATATAATCTAGAGCTTCTGCGCTTGCGTAGGTGAAGCCTGCCCCGTGTAAGATCATTTGGCTCAATAATATATTCAGGTAGGGATTCTCTACCCCCGGTGATTTAGTAAAAAAAAATAAAAAGGTGAGGTGAGCTTCGTGGTCGTCCTGCTCGCCGGCGATGGCGACGGCGACGGCGAGCTCCGGTTCTTGGTCAGTATCTGTCTCCCTTCTCGCCTGGTTTCTTTGCTCTGCTGCTTGTCCTGCTGCCGTCTCGCCTTCTTGGTGTGTTCGTCTCGAATTCAGTTCGATTCATCGTCCTGTGTCAGGATACAAGCGTTTTGGTTGTGAACTTCCTCGTTTTCAATTTTGAGCCCGGGAAGAAGCAAACAACCTATCAAAGGAAATTAACTGAACCAGGATTGGATGAAATTTGATGGGGCCACTTCTTTGGGGAGCTTCTGTTTTCTTGCAATGGGCTGCTAGAAATTTCGTTCACAATGTTTTCCTGATAAATTCCGTCAAGTCATGCTCTTCTTTGATGAACTTTGACATGTTCAAGATCTATAGTTCGTCAAAAGTTCCAAGTCTCGAATCGGTCGGAGTGCGCGGTCTTGTTTATTTTTCCTGACCTTGAAACTGCAGCACTTTGTGACTAGAATATAACTAATTCTGGTCATGAAAGGTGTGAGCTTTGAGTCTGCAAAGCTGAACTTGCCACCATCCAGCTTCAGCCTCACCTGCAACTCTTTAATTCTAATTAGGAAGATGTTTATGCCTTCCCAACCGAACCGATCACAACTGCTGTTTACTGCTTTGATCTCTACTCTGTACCAAACTTACCACATGCATTCTTCTTGAAAAACAAGCACCTATTTTTTTTTGTTAATGTTAGGTGTGGTAGCATTAATCTGAACTCACCTTTTTTTACTTATTGTCTACATTCTTCTTGTATGATGCAGCTGCCTGATTGCCTGACCAACAGAATTCAGAGAACCTCTATTTTATCTGCAGTTGATGTCTTGTGAGCACAATTCAGTCCTGAAAAAGAACAGGGGTTTGCTTCAGAGCACAGTAAAGGGATGAGATTGGTGAATCTGAATGGTCTGAGGTTCAAGCAGCTCAAGCTTGTCTGTCTTGCCCTCCTTGTGGTGCTCCTGACATGGAAATGGGAGAAGGGATCGCTGCGAAATCGCGGCGAGCTCCTCCGATCAGAGCCATTGGCTTTGAGCCATCCAGGTCCTCTCATTTTGCAAGCTCAACAGCTGATATCCATTCTCTAATTGAGTTTTTTTCTATGTGTTGTTCTTTGCACTGACATTTTTCTGTAAATTTCTTCAGTTCAATCCAAGTATATAGATCATGATATCTCCAAGGAAGAAATTTTTTCTAGCTTGGATCCATTAGTGCAGTTAGTAGATGAAGTAGGAAGGGAAGCTACTGCTGCATCTCCACCTCAGTCTGTAGTTCATGAAGCAGAAAACGTCACTGGTAAAAGGGAAGCATCACCTCCTGAGAAGAAAGGTCATGGCCAACATCTCTCTGATTATGATCCAATATAATGTCTGTTATAGAAATATCCCCTTAAAAATGTAAATAAGATAATTTTTTTTACTAAATTGGTATAAACTTGCTCAAAGAGGACAATGTTCCTTTAAATCCTACTCAACTCACAGATTTGCCTAGCAAAACCGGTTACTAGTCAGAAGTTTCTGCAGCTCTAATGCAATGCTGTTTCTTCTGATGCTTTCTTCATCTGTCTAGCAGAATGTGACTACAGGAATGGAAGATGGGTTCCTGATGACAGCAGACCATTATATTCTGGTCTCAGCTGCAAAAAATGGCTCTCTGATAGCTGGGCTTGCAGATTGACACAACGAAAGGATTTCGCTTATGAGAAATTCAGATGGCAGCCTGAAGGCTGTGACATGCCAGAATTCCAAGCCTCCCAGTTCTTGAAAAGGTAAGTCTACATTCTGCAAGAAACAGTTAATCAACACATTCTTCTTCTTCTGCATCCTTTTCTCTGTCTTTCAGGTCATGCTAATCCTAACATGCCTCAGGATGCAGGACAAAACCATTGCTTTTGTAGGTGACTCCTTGGGGAGGCAGATGTTCCAGTCCATGATGTGCATGCTCACAGGTGGGGATGATCACTCGCATGTCGAAGATGTCGGTAAACGCTACAGCCTTGTCGTTGCGCGCCACGCTAAGAGACCGGAAGGTTGGGCATACCGGTTCCGAAGAACCAACACCACCATCCTCTACTACTGGTCAGCAACGCTCTGTGATCTGGAGCCTCTCAGGAGGTCTGATCAGGCAACCGGCTATGCAATGCACCTAGACCGCCCTCCTGCATTTCTTCAGAAGAACCTCCACAGGTTTCATGTGATAATTCTGAACACCGGGCACCACTGGAACCGGGGGAAGATGAAGGCGAACCGGTGGCAAATGTACGTCTCCGGGGCACCGAGCCATGACCGGGATATCGCCGTCATCTGGAAGGCGAAGAACTTCACCATCCACAATGTTGTCAGGTGGCTGGATGATGAGCTTCCAAGGTACCCCCATCTGAAGGTCTTCTACAGGTCATTGTCACCCAGGCATTTCTTCAATGGTGAGTGGAACACTGGAGGAACATGTGACAACAAAAACCCTTTATCCAAGGGGAATTCGGTGTTTCGGAATCGTTCTGACGATGCCGAAGCCGAGGAAGCGGTGAGAGGCACCGGAATCAAGCTCTTGGATATCACCGCGATTTCGCGGCTGAGGGATGAAGGGCATATATCCAGGTACAGCATCAGAGGTAGAGGAGGGGTCCAGGATTGCTTGCACTGGTGCCTTCCTGGTGTTCCAGACACATGGAATGAGATCCTGGCTGCTCAATTGTAGCTGCCTGCTGCCATAGTCAACACATTTTTCTTTTGATAAGCTCTAACCATTTTATCTGATGTTATCATCATCTGATAAAAGCAGCTATTTTTCATGTAAATCTGTAATAACCCTTCAATAAGTTTCTGTACTTTTCTGGGATTAGCCACACACATACACGCACCCCATCATTCTTCAGGACTGAAAATGAAATTCTTGTGTAGATTCAGACATGAGTTTGTACACTATACCGTTTTCCGTTACTAGATTCTTTTTCTAAATTATGATGATATCACTTTTTTCATGGAGATTTATTACATGGTTTCTGGCTACAGAATTTAAAGAAAATAAAAGAAAATCACGGCCAGTTTGTTCATCATGTACTCTAACAAATGCTAGATGTAGCTAAACTATGTAGTACCCACATAATTATATGGTCAAAATCTCTTATATTTTTTAACAAAGGTAGTACTTATAGGCTATTGCCTACAAGTCTGGACAAGAGTGGCAAAGCATGTAAAATAATTCTTTGCTAAAATTGTTCATCACCTGTGTTGTTCAGTGCAAACAAATATATTTATTATTTACCAGAAACAGACAAGAAATTGTTAAAAAAAAAACACCCACACAAAAAGAAGAAGAAGAAACACAAGTGAAATTGTCAACCATAATCAGCAACACAAACACAAGTGATGAGGGTCTCTACCAGACTACCAATGGCAAGCGATCGTATAATCGTTTCTTTGCGATTTTTTTTTTTAAAAAAATATGGTTGAACTGATCGACTCGAAGGTTTCAAAATGATCTGAAATTTTCTGCGGAATTATATGCTCTTTGCAATGTTTGGTATGATTCCAGAAGGCCTACAAGTCTGGACTTTGATGTAGTCAACCGCACCCTCAATGCCAAGTTGTCAATATTTGAAGGTGCCCTGTTGCAAAAAGGTCATCGAGAGATACGAGCCATACGTTGAACAACTCAAATAGACCGTGTTTACCACTCAGCCATAATTTCAACGACTAATAATTTTCATGAATCTAAACGAGTGCGATTTCATGTGAGAAGACCAATTGGAAGTCTTTCCTATCAGTAAACAGCTAAACGAGCAGCTAATCCCTAGTGAAAAAAAGCTTAACCATACAGAAACAGCAAAGGGAGAAATTTACACTTGAGTAAAAAATATCGGGAAACACTCAAATGCATATGCTAGTAATAACATGAAAATTGAAAACATTATCAGCCCAGGATCAAATGTAATAGTTTTTAGTGACAACGGTGATGCGACAACTATCTAAGTGCTGGCATGAACACAGACGGTCATGCCATAACTAGAATAACAGGGAACAAAAAACTTGTAAATATAACCAACAGCACTGGTGGACTAAGCGGTAGTATCAAGACAAATCCAAAAGGCAGCAAATGACAGCACTTCCAACAAACTGTCAATCATAACTTGCATTCAGAAACTTCAACAATTCATTGCGCTTGCTCTCTGCCTGCTTGTCTTCCTTGGATTTCTCAAGTTTCATCATTATCTGTCAATGCAAATGCATCAAATCTTTTGCTTTCCTAAAATAATTTGTTATGAGGGGGGGCATATGCGAGGTAGCCCATTCTGTTTTATTGAATTTAACAACCGATGGAACAGTTTGGATACTGTAAAATTGTTCATATTTCATAACCTTACTTTGATCAGAAGATTTTTTATTTCAACAGGCACCCCCCCCTCCCCCCCTCTATTGTACAATTCAAAAGGTGTACATTGAAGAGGTCAAGAGACTATTCTCACCTTTTTACCAGAGATTGCACTCCTTTGAACACCTTCATCCTTGTCACGTCCAAGAAACTGATTTACAGAATAAAGAATGTTTCATATGTTAAATAAAACAAATAGAAAAGAAAAATGTAAAGCCAAGTATCTAATATACCTTGGAGAGCTGCACAGGGCCACTAGTACGTTCACTATCTTTCTTCTGTGTAGAGCTCCCGCATTGAAGAGAACAAAACCAACCAATCAACCAACAAGCCAACCAGCAAGCCAATCCACCATGTTGTCACCCGTTCACGAATCCCAGCTCCAATGTCAAAGAGCCAACCCAGAAACAGGCAGCAAGATATATAAGGACCTCTTGTATTTAAATGTAAACCACATATATTTTAAGTCTACACATCTACTTCATAAGACATGACCCTGTAGATTTCTATTAATAGATATAGCATGGCACTGTAACAGCAATCAAACGCAAGTATGCAACCAACACTTGCTGATTTCTAGAGAGTGATTATTACATGCAACACAGATTCAATTCACTGAAAAGTTAAACCAAGAAAAAGGTATTTTCTGAATAAATAGGATTTTTACCTCTTTATGTTTGCTCTTGTCTCGTTTAGAATGCCTATCCTTGCTTCGCTCCCTCTCCCTAGACTGTCAGGTAAGTAAATACAATGAGGCCACATATTCGACGCATGGAGAAAAAATCTAAATGAGAAATCAAATATGAATGCATTGATGGGGCAGTACCTTCCTTGATGATCTGCTCTTCTTGTGCTTGCATGATTTGCCCTCATGTTCACTGTCGTAAGAGCTTGAGCTACTACAAAAAGCACCAGAAACTTCAAAATAACAGTGGTGGCATAAAGCAAACAGGAATACAAGTTTCGCAAGAAGCAAAATATCTCTATTTTTTTCAGTGTAGCAGAGAAAGCCAAGACAGCTTGAAGGCTAAAACTAGGGAAAAACTTGTTGCTATGCCGATCAATGTCATCCAATTGAATGATTCAAGCCGTAACAATGTAATGCAAGACTATGGCATTTTTTGTTTCAAAATTTCCCTGGTACCTAGATTCTGAACTATGCTTTAGCTGCCTAAACTTGATGCCATGATAGCTCCTAATCACAGATAAATTGAATTCAAAAGAACAAAGCATCATAGCTCCGGTAAATGCCATGGATTGCCACCCTCTCAGGCTTACAGAATATTTAACTGACTGAAAAGGAATTTTAAATGGAGATGCGAACACTCATCTTCAATAGTGAGCTCAAATCATATCTAAGAAATCCTTGTCCTACTGCTGATAGAACCGATCACTGACTATTAAACTAGGAAGGAATGAGGCTTTGTCCTACTACTGTTGCGATTGTTACACATTGAAAAAGTACATCACAGAAATTCTCCAAACCATGTAGATTCGAGCTAGCATTCAGTGCTCATTACTACTCCCTCCATTTCATAATGTAAGACTTTCTAGCATTGTCCACATTCATACATATGCTAATGAATCTAGGCACACATATATGTCTAGATTCATTAGCATCTACATGAATATGGACAATGCTAGAAAGTCTTACATTATGAAACGGATGAAGTATCAAGTTGAAGTGAAATCCTAAAATTTTTCTCACGGTTAGGGCTCTCGTTGCTCAAGTAAGGCACGACCAAACCAAACTGAACAAATAAATCCTTTGTTAGTTGTAAAACAACCGAAAATTCTTCACGTCCTTGTGCAACTAATTCGTTATCCCCTTAATACCACTCCTGATGTAGCGTCAATCATGGGTCAAGATGAACTATCAGAGGAGCTAACGAGCAAAATTCATTCACCGATGCTAATCCACCCATCGAATCCCGTCAAACCGTTGATCTGGATGTAATCCACCACCAACATCGCCGTATCCCCTACCTCACAGATCACGAGATCGATCTGGGCCTAACCCTAGCACAAGAAACCTAGAAAGGAAGGATGAGGAGGAGGAGGAGGAGGGGGAGAGCCTCGCCTGTAGCTGTCGTCGTCGGACGGGGACCGCCGCCGCTCCCTCCGGCGCCGCTTGTGGCGTGACCTCCGGTCCTTGCGCGCCTTCAGCGCCGACGACGAGGACGCCGCCGCCGCCGCGGCATCCTTCCGGTGGCCGCTGCGGTGGCGGGCGCGGCGTCGGCGTCGGTCGCTCCCCGAGGACGAGGACGAGTCCGAGGAGGAGCCCGAGGTGTCGGTGTAGGAGGACGACGAGGAGGTCGCGGCGGCGGGCGGCGGCGCCATGGAGGGAGCTCGTCGCGGCGGCGAAGAATCGAGGCGGATCTGTCTGCGGGAGACGGGTGCGAGGGTACGCGAGGTAATGGGCCGAGGAGCCCGTCACGTGACGCACGTGCGAGGTGGCGTGTGGCTGACATGTGGGCCCACGAGTAATCCGGCCCATCTGAAATTTGATGGAATTTTAGATTTTTTTAAAAAACCTTTTTAGTAACTTTTAGTTTTTAATATACTCTCCCAAATTTTATTCCTAAACCTGGTTCTAGTTTGAAAATGAGAATCTGCCGAATCGCTCATGTTATGATCTTCTACATCCTAGGTCTCTTTTGAGATAGTCTTCCTTTAAAAATAAAATTTAAAAAGTTTGAATTTTCTTTTAAAAAAATCAGTATTTTATGTGAACTTGGTATGGAGTTGATGTATTTCAAAAGGGGATGTTATACAACAGAATCCCATTCGGACGGTTGGTTGCAGTCATACCTACGAAACAGAAATGCACTATGACTTACTCTCCACTAACAAATAAAATGTTGTTTTAGATTAGGTTTTCATGTATTCAGATTTTTCAAGTCTTTGTAACTTCCTTGAACTTTAAAATTTTGAAATATCAATATTTTTTTTTTGCAAATATCTATATAGAACATTTATACATGTGTCAAAAGCACACACTGGTGGAGAAACCATCTTTGGTCGGTCGGTCAAATTTCACAATAATCTCGGTTTTAATAAAAACCAGGACTAAAAAGCATCTTTAGTCCCTATTTAAAAGTTGAGAGGTACTTTTTGATCTTTAGTCCCGGTTGGTGTTACCAACCGTGACTAAAGATCATTTTTAGTCTAGGTTCAATAAGTCGTGGGGTTCAAGACAGACCCCAATTATTTGTACATGAAATTGTACTAATTTTTCTATCGATGTACGGAGAAGGGGTAGTGGTGAATTGGTGATCGGATGAGTGGTAAAAGAGTTAGATCGGGCTGAAAGGAGTTATGTTAATGGTAGCGCTTGCGCGTGGAATATTGTTCCGAGCACCGCACGTTGCGCCCAGAGTCCGCAAAATCCGTGTTCGGTTGCCCTCAGCTCGTTCGTTCTATATAGATTAGATATATTTGAATTCGGGGTAGTTGTGAATTCGGGGTAGTTGTTGAAGATACTCCGCTGGAGGTAAATCAATTACTGTGGGTTAATAGGGATACCTTGTCACAGCCAGGCTTTTGGTAATCGATTTACTGGGTAGTTAAATTGTTTGCCATAGCTAATAAATGGGTTACTCGTTTAGTACCTATGGTGACCGAGTTTGTGGTAAATGTGTTGTTGTTTCTGGATGAGGTGATTCGCATAATGCAGTAATTGAGTTACTACTACGTTGTAAGTGACGTTTTCGTCGGTAAATGAATTATCGTATAATGGTGATTTACTGCGAAAGTTATGACATGATTGTTTCCGTCTGCCTCGCGGCGGGTGGCGTCGGCCGACGCGGAGCGCCCCGTCTCCTTCCTCCCACCACAACGAAAACCATCTTTCGTGGCGGCCATTTTGGGTTTTTGCTGACGGAATTTAGAGCCGGCACAGAGCAAAGGCCAGTGAAGATCAATATTTTCGCTAGCGGTTATCGACCGCCAGCGATAATTCATTTTCGCCGGCGGTCGTCTTAAGCCAGCCGCTAGCAAATATGCATTTTCGCTGGCGGTTGGCTTAAGATGGCCGCCAGCGAAAATGAATTATCACTGGCGGCATTGTTAAATCGGCCGCCAGCAAAATTCTTTTTTGGGCCAAAAAAAAAAAACCCATGCAGCTGCTGAGCCGCCAGCAAAGATGATTTAGAGAAAAGCCCATTGATTCATTTTCAAAATTCAAATCCAGATCTAGATTCGCTGCTCATTTCCAAATTCAAACATGAATTACAAAATCATCATTAGCACATATCAAACATCATTTACACAGATCAAAACATGTGCATCATCTGCAACAACATGCGCAAAAAAAAAAATAAATCGGAGAGGAGGGAGCCGGGAGCACGGGCCGGGCTGGATCCGGCCGCCCCGTGGTCTGGCGGCGGCGGATCCGGCCTCCCCGCGGCCCGACGGCGGCGGATCCGGCCTTCCCGCCTGCGCCCAAGCGTCGCTGCCCGTGCCTGAGAACCGCCGCCCGCCGCGCCCGAGCGCCGCCGCCCGCACCCGCCAGGTCCGGCACGTCGTCGTCGGTGTCAGCTCCGCCATCGCCCGCCTGTCATCGCCGCCGCGAAGGCCGCTCGTGCTAGTCATGGATGCCGTCGTCGCCGTCGGAGGAGGGCTGGGGGCTCCGAGAGGAGGAGGGGAGAGAGGTGGTGCAGTAGGAGGAGGAGGAGGAGGTGGGTGGAGAGGAGAAAGAGATAGAGTGGGTGGGTGGCAGCCTCTGGCAGTGGGTGGGTGGATGAAAATCAGTTTTAAATGCGTGGGTGGGTGAAGGAATCTCGCGCGCATGGTTTTAAATGCCGCCAAAATTTTTCAGCGAGGCTTTGCTTTTCGCTGGCGGCTCTGTTTTATTCTTGGCGAATCTCTTTAGCATCCGCCAGCAAAAACGCCGATTTTCGCTGTGGACATTTAAGAGGTCCGCCTCAAAAAATATAGTATTTTTTATGGCAAACCTCTTAATGTGGCCGTCAGCGAAAATCAGTTTTCGCTGGCGGCCTATGACCCCCCACCCCTCCGATTTTCTTCGCTGGCAGTTTTATCTCTGTCCCGCCACGAAAAAGATTTCTCAAACGTCATGAAAAACCGTTTTTCTAATAGTGTCCCGCCCCTACCCCTGCTCACCGTCCTCCTCGCCTCATCCCTCTCTGCACTTGCTTCGGCCGCCGCTCGCGGCGAAGCCGGTCGATCCGCCTTGCCCGTAGCCCACTCCAGCCGCCACTCGCCCCACTCCGCCGACCGTGTGCCCACCTGGGTCGTTGCTCGCTTCGGCCACAAGAAGGGGAGAGATATAAGATAGAGAGAAGAGGGGAGAGAGAGAGGAGAGAGATAAGATCCAGTGTGTATGATACGTGGGACCTGCTTGTAAGTATGACTAGTTATTTCAAAAGCCACAGCCCATATTCCACAACTGTTTTTCGAAAAGCCACGGCTCACTGCTATTTTTTAAAAGCCACAACTCAAACAAACACACTGTTGATAGAGGTGAGTGTGCTGTTGTTAGTACTTGCTTTTGGACTGTGTTTATAATAAAAAAACTATACCTACTTTTAATGTTTAAGTTTTGTCTCAATGTTTAAATATTATCTTAAAATGTTGGCATATGTATTTTGCCATCGCATAGACGGATTCGGCCAGCGAAAGTTTTCCAAGTCGATCCCATCGGCCCGCGTATTTTGTTTTTTGCGTGAATATTGTTGTGCTAATTAATTAGTGAGTATTATGGATTGTGAATGGATTGTATTTCGTTCATATGTATTCTGTATATGTGAATAATTCTGTATTCTGTGCTGATAATGCAATTGTAACAGATATATTGCACTGATATATATTCCCTCCGTATTTTAATGCATGACGCCGTTGATTTTTCGACCAACGTTTGACCATTCGTTTTATTCAAAATTTTTATGCAAATATAAAAATATTTATGTCATGCTTAAAGAACATTTTGATGACGAATCAAGTCATAATAAAATAAATGATAATTACATAAATTTTTTGAATAAGACGAATAGTCAAACGTTGGACAAAAAGTTAACGGCGTCATACATTAAAATATGGAGGTAATATCTAACTTGTGTAGCTAAAAAAACTATAGTCCTATATATTTGTAACAGTTATACTCCATCTATCTACTTTTGATAGTCATATTTTCAAATCTGAAAATTCTATTTTTGATAGGCATATTTCAATTCATCAACCTATCATCTTAATAACTTTCTCGGATTTAATGTTTGACTCTCCATTCTTCCACACAAGATTGGCTACTTGAGCATCGTGAAATGTAAATATTAATGAATCGCTTGTTTACGAGGAATGACCAGTAGCATGTTTAAATAGATGATAAGTAGAATTACTTATCATTAGTCTGTGTGCCAAGATGAAATATGACTATCAAAAGTAGATAGAGGGAGTACTATATTGCTATTAAATAAATAAAATTATAAGTAAACAAATTCAAAGTACCAATTCATATTATTTAACTGTATAAGTACAATACTAATATTATGAATTAACAGTAATTATATTGGGGAGGCACTACCCGTCGAGCGCCCGATTCGGGCTTAAAAAATTCGTGCTCTGACGTTAGCGTGATGCATGCATACAAAACCACTTTAAACTACTTTTTCTCTCAAAATATTTATCCAAATCATGATCCGATTGCACCATTAAATTCGTTACAATTAAATCTTTAAAACAAGACCACACATGTATATATTCCGATGAATTTTTTAAGCTTATTATTGAATTATTTTGAAATGTTGTACGTTGTTCCATCACGTATATCAGGATTGTTTCACTAAATAGATCGATGTTCCAATCGTTTACATCGGGCGCTGTTTCACCTTGTATGAAAACAAAGTTTCAGCAAAATAGCGAAAGAATGTTTCAACTCACTGTAACATTTGATCCATACATAGTGATACATTATAAGTACACTATGTGAAATATTATTTGTGGCGTTGTTTCACCTTATATAAAAACAATGTTTCAGCAAATAGCGAAAAACGAAAGAATGTTTAAATTCACTGCAATATTTGATCCATACATAGTAAAACATTATAAGTACACTAGATAAAATATTTTTGGTGGAACAAAAAATAAAACAAATTCACTTAATATAGGGTTTCCATAATATGTGGCTGATTTGTTATAAAAGAATATTTTAATCCGCCACAATATTAGATCTATATGTAGTAAAACATTGTGAGTGCACTAGGTGAAATATTTTTTGTGGAATAAAAAATAAAATGAATTCCCTTAATAAAGAGTTTTCTAAAATATATGGGTGATTTGTTGCAACAGAGTATGTGTGTGAAGACACGTGGCAGGTGGACAGTTACACATGGTAGGGCCTAGGGGAACATGTGCGCGTCGGGAGGAGGGGGAGGACGATTTTTCCTC